TTCCGTGTTCGTTTTTTGAAAGTACCTAATGCAAACGTTTCCGGGCATGCTTGAGAAAATATTTTTATATTTATCTTAAAAAATAAAAAGTTATTTTATTTTTTCCAGAGCATCTCGTCTAATGCGACCAGTCGGCAAGCATGTCGCAGAAGTCCTGGCGGAACTAACAAAATCCGGTCTAGATCCAGCCAAACTGGAGCTTCTAGGATTCAGCCTGGGCGGTCATACAGTAAGCTTCATTGGCCGTAACTTTCAGCAGTTAACCGGAAGAAATATATCCAAGATTACTGCTTTGGAGCCCTCTGGTCCTTGTTTCAGAAACTTAGGCCCTGGGGACAGATTAGACGCTTCAAATGCTGACTTCGTCGAAGTCATCCATACTAACATAGACGGCTACGGTATGGGAGCTAGAATGGGACATATAGACTTTTACATAAATGGTGGTGAATACCAACCGTCCGATTTAAATTTATACCCGTGCACGACCACTTGCAGCCATTTCAGGGTCCTTACTATCTGGCTGTCAGCTTTAAAAAATCCAAGAAAGTTTTTAGCGTTAAAATGTGATAGTATACAGCAAGCTAGAGATTCAAATTGTTATCAAAATGTTCCTATTGTTACTAATTATTTAGGTTTAAGTGTTGATAGAAGAAGAGGTGGTATTTTTTATTTAGCAACAGATAAAAATTATCCTTATTATTTAGGAATTAAGGGTTTGAGGCCAGAATATGTTTACTGGAGAAGGATAACTAATGTTAATAATGGAAATAATACAGAGATTTATACGTAGAATTGTTTTTTTTTAACTTGTCACGAGTCCTAGAGTAACGTGGTGTTCCTATCGATTTTGGTAGCCACTGTAGCATCCCCATGGTATCTCTAACGCGCAGCTGCGTTTTCAACCAACATTTTTTTAGATTTAATAATTTTTTTTTTTTTACCAAAATGGACGCGTCACGGAATTGTCTCAGGAGTCCTTTTTTCTTAAAAAAAATGACTATTTGACGGTGAGATGGATCACCTGATGGAACGTGACGATGAGGTTGATGGTGGAACATGCACAACTAAATAATGCTTATTCACTCTCGCCTTGAAAAGGCCCAGGTTGTAGCGTTCGTGGAATAAGTTTGCAGGCAGGAGTTCCACTTCATAATCGTTTGCCATATAGATGCGGAATATCCATAATGATATTGGAAAGGGAATGGCGGAATTAAATCATGCAATTCCATCACACATTATCCGTGATATCCTGTAGAATACTGATAAGCAGGCAACTTTACGGCGGTGTTCAAGGCTCTGCAACTTCGCCTCTTCTAAATCCGAGTCACCTATAAGCCTCTTGACACGTTTTTTTTACTAAGAACTGTGAAGTAAGTAAGTAAATTCAGCCTTAAAATTATCAGTGAAAGAAATTACTATTCTGCCATTGGAAAAAAAAGTTTACGCAACAAATTGAAAACACAAAGTTAAACAAATTTTTAAAGTGTCCAGGGGTTTGGACATTAGCAGTCCCTTTGCGTTATTGTTTCATGGTATAACTCAATTTTGTTAAAAATGTCACTTGGGCCTTTTTTTCCTTTCCAAGACAGTATTAGACTAGGTGCGTAGAATATTTTTCAATTTCGTATGAGAAATGGTGTAGCGCCTCTGGCGGTCACAGTAGTTTCATAGGACTTTTTTTATAATAGCAAGTGACGGTACGAACAAGTCGCGCCCTTGGTGGTAAGCGACACGTCTATCCATAACAGTTGCAGTGCCACGTCAAGTCCCATGTGCCTGTAATTTCACCAGCGCCCTTATCCTTCAAAACCGGAAGACAGCAATGCTCACATTACCTACTGCTTGGCGGCAGATATAGGTAAGGTGGCAGTACCTCCCTGGACGAACTCTTTGACATGGAACTAATGCTACTAAAACGTAGATTTTATACTTATGTGGAGTTTTAATATTACTGTACCAATAAAACTCGTAACATTACAAAACAGAAACATTGATTTTTTCACAAAGTTTTGTTACATTCCGTGTAACCTATGAAGCATTGATGTAAAGTAGATTGTATAGTAGATGCACAGAGCTAAATATTCATTCTGCAAAACAAAATAATTGAAAAACTGAAGGACTTTGGACCTTATTGCAAGAAACGTGGGGAAAGATCTAAGCTTAACTAAAACAAAATGTAATTAGCATAAACGGCGTATAAAGGTAGGCGTCCACAGATCCGCAGCGCACGTATCGGATGGACCGCATTATACGGATTTTAGCATTCTTTGTAGATAGAAGTTCATACAACTGCGTCCACTGATCCGCATCGCACAGACCGCACACACCGGCCTGTCGGTAATGCCGACGCAGTTGCTCGGACGAAACTTACAGATTATTAGTAATTTAAATTACACAAATACTTTAATAATTTACTTTTGTTTAATTACGTAACTACAATTAAGCGCCTAGCGATAATATTAGGCATAAAAAAACCGACCTCAAAAGTACGTGGAAATACATATAATTACCAAGTTTTATTAAAATCGGTTATCGGAAAGTGCGCAAACCCGGATTCATCCCCTAGTTCATTGAGAGAGAAAAAGGCCTTGAATTAAAGAATAGCAAAATCAACCATTAAAATAATTGCTCATTATACTAAAATTTAGGCGCTATTTATAAAAATGAAACTTCATGCATGAACAGTCACCCTTAGAGGTGGATGATTTTCTTCAAAATTGAATGGGACCACTATGGAGGTACCCTCTTTCCAACAAAAAAAGAATCATGAAAATTGGTTCACAAATACCGTTGTTATCGCGTAACATACATACAAAAAAACAATAAACATGCAGTCCTCCTCCTTTTTTGAAGTCGGTTAAAAATATCTAGCAAAATATCGCTTGCATGTGCTTGCATGGCCAAAATTACACCCTGACAAATTGATTTATTACGAATGCAACGGTGATTACTATAATTTTCTCGGTAATTTGCTGAACGCAACTGTAAGAAAGTGATAAAAAAATTATGTTATTAGTTATAAATATTTTCCATAATTTTAGGGTAATTTTTGAGTAATTGGGGTAAATTTCAAGTGTAATTAGATTACGTACGAAATAAAGATATTTAATTTGATTTCATTATTTAAGGGCATTTTTGGGAACGATACGACAAATTTCAATTTATGACATTTCTTGAGAGTAATATTTTATGACTAACCGAATACTGCCGCAATGATCATGAAGGGTTCTTAATGAATCAAAGATAAAACTTATGAGAAAATGAAGTGAAGAAGAAGGCAAGTACGTGGGCATCGAGAATATAACCAGAAATAGAGACGAAATGTCATTTAATTTGTTTGAAAACTATTCTGCTATATCATTACTGTGACAACTGCGCTCCGATTGGCTAACCCGAGTTCGAAACAATTGACGAGTGTCGTCAGTGGGTGTCGACAACTGTTTCACTTCAAATCGACCAGTTAACTTGAGCTTTGCTATAATGGACGAAAATTGCAAAATTACATATTTAAATACCGATGAAATGTGATTCCGTTTGTTTTATAATTAGATGTTTTGTTGTTTTTCCCACACTACCGAATAGAACAGCACGGCATTGTTAGAGGTATTATCTTTATTACAATAAATACAGATTTTTTTGGAATGTACGGAGACATACACACAGGTCAGTAGTTGACCTGTCCATATTTCAGTGCAAACGAGAGTTGATATTTATAAGAGCGGTATCGCTAATGTGTTACCAGAAATATATGGCCCTTATTTCGTCTCTATTTCTGGTTATGTATTTGACGCACGTAGGCATCCAAAAATTTGGATATTATGTAAACTAATCCAAGGGGCATAATAAACACGATCATATAGAAAATCTAAAAAGGAAAATATTTTTCCGGATTTAAATCGCGTATTTTTTCAAACAAACCAACGTTTCGGGCCCTTTACGGGTCCCATGGTCACGGTTGACTGTGGTGGTACAGTTATCAACCAGTTATGTCTAATATTAATGCAAACCACCCTATTGTTTCACTATAGTTACAAAAGTTATTAATTAAATACCTTATTTTTAATTTTACAAAGAAACGTTAAATTTTATATTACATTAAGTTTTACAAATTATTTTATAATATGATATAAATAATGACATAAAATGATGATATAAAAATTTGTAATATGATAATATAATATGATTTTTTATTAAGTTAAAATTTATTAGTAATGAATAATGAAATTGAGAATAAATTAAAACATATTAGTTAGTACTGCAGTCTTATGTCTGTTTGGGATTTTTCATCAGAGGAAATACTGGACCACAAACTGGTGGTACGGAGAAACCATCTTCCCCGTTGAAATTAGGATCTTCTTTAACTTCCATGGCCTCTCGCAGCATCCTGGGTGGACAACGGACTTCTTTTGCAAAGACCAGGATTTTGTCAAACTTCATTGAATGTGTAGGTTTATTCATGACATGCTCGCAGACTGCAGACTTGTTTACGTGACGGTGTTTGACGTCAGCTATATGTTTTTTGACGCGTGTACAAAGACTTCACTTCGTTTGTCCAATATAAGAGAGACCGCACTCACAGTCAAGCTTGTAAACTCCTGCATCCTGTAAAGGGATGTTACATTTCACGGGTCTCAGGAACTGAGAAATCTTCCTCAGGGGCTTGAAATAGGTCTTGATAGATGCATGCCTGAGGACTTTTCCGATCTTGTCTGTAATACCTCTCACGTAAGGTAAAATGACAGGTCTTCGCTCGACTGTTGGTGGTTTCACATGGAATCTTGGAATCTTCAACTTATTTGCATGTAGGACTTACATGCTGAATGTTTTATATGCTGAAGTTCCCCCGATCGATGATTACTGTGGCAGACCATGTGCTCTCTGAAACAAAGATTTTCCCATGGTGGCTAACTGACTAGGATGGTCATGGGAATTACCATTGAGGTTCCTATACGTATGGGTTTTCTTTTAAAATACAGTATGGCCTAAGGTCTTATTAGGATTTCTTTTGATTAAAACGTCTAAGAAAGCTAAAGTACCACAATTGTCTTGTTCCATGGTAAATTAGATCTTATAATGAAACCTACCCAAAAATTACGACCTATCTTATAATAACCAAAAAACTAGCGAATCTCAGCGCAACGTATACACTAATTGAATCTTTAATTGTGAGGAGAGCAAGATGTTTTAAATAGCAACTTATACGGATAAATGTCAAACTGTCGCAATGACGCAAGACTGACAAAAGGAAAAACCTTGTCGGCCAATCTTTCCGAAACCTTTCTCAACGGTGTTTCTGGCGGGTTTCCTTCTAAATTATACTAATTATAGCTAAAATGGACTGATAATTACAATTATTACTAAACGTAGAAATAAAAAAAAATCGCAAGTGCAGTTTTATTTGTGTTTAACGAAGTTTAGTGTGAGAAATATATTGAGTGCGAGAAGTCTAAATCAATTTTTAGTGAGAGTGCTACTCATGTTCTGATTATTATTTGGGGCGTCTTACGTAAGTTTATTGCAATTTTTGTTATTAAACATGACTATAGCAGTGTTAAAACCGACCACCTTTCTCAATAAAAACAATTCGCGTGTATTATTACGTATTCTTTTTCAAAATACAATGTACTCATTGTAAGGTTTGGTGCTTCAAATCGTATCTTGTGTTTACTTTTTTTTCTAAACGACGATAATAGAGCATTAGCTATGCCAAAACAGGTTGTATACCACATGACCTTGAGTCTATACAAGACATGAATCTACGCTTTTCTATATCACTGGCAATATTTTTTA